AGTACCATTTGTCATATATTATATAATAAAAACCTAAGATTTTGTATTGTCTGCCCAAAACCATTTATCTTTTCCAAAAATAAAAAAAAGAGGCTTGATTAGTATCTTACCTATAAAGATTAATCTATCAGAAAGTTTCACCATGTTTTGTGATCTAATAAAATTAATGTTTGTCTTTTTTTAGGTTCTTCTGATCAAACTTGATGTAAATCACATGAAGAGTAACATATTGAATGCCTAGATAGCACTGTCAAGCATAGCCTGAATTGCATGTATTGGAATTGCTTCTTCTGATATAATGTTGGACCCCTTGTTCCATTGAATTCTGCTGTCACTGGTGCTTTGCATATCAATATTTTACAAAGATATGTTTTACTGGCCCTAGAAAATTTCAAAGGTTGTAAGAATTGTTGTTTATTTTTTCAGCAGGACAATACAAGACTATATATTATCAAGATAGCTTTAAAATTCATTAATAAGAATAGAATTCATACAATGGATTGGTCTCTGCAAAGTTCTGATCTCAATTCAATTAAGAATCTTTGGGCTGAGATAAAAAAATCAGTAATTCGCAAGTCAAAACCAAGTAATCTTAGTTAGCTCAATATTCTTGTCAAGCAAGCAAGTGTAATATAATATATCAGAAATATTGTTGCAAGCTAATTATAAATATGCCTGATCAGGTTACTGCTTGTATCAAAGTTAAGAGGAACCTATAAAATACTAGAATGTAATTAGATTAGTTTTTTTATAAAAAGAATTTTTTTAAAAGAATTAAAAAATAAAAAAAAAAACCTCTGGTTTAATGAAAAAAATCAACTTCATGAGTTTTTTTTATATAACTTTTGAGTACCTAAATAAAATAACATCAAATTTTAGTATAATATATCTTGATATTCAGTATTATATTTACTTACTTAATTTTATACAATTAAAGAAAAAAAAGTGTTTGTAATAATATGTATAAACAATTTTTGAACAATTATTTGGATGGGTTTTATTCTTTTACTTTTATTTTTATTACTTTATTATTATTATTATATCTTATAATTATATGAATAATTTCTTATTTTTATATTCTTTTTGAAATATTGAAAATTTAAAGATATTCTTTAGCTACTGTATAGATTACAGTATCCAAATTATACATGTGGCATAAATTATTTTGCTGTTGACTCAATTCCCAAAATCCTCAAAAATAATTGTGTCATGACTCAATTATTTATATGTTTTAATAGTGACTCAATTAATTGCGTCAAATAATTGCATCAATTGCATCAAGGATCTATAAATTTCAGCAACATGTATAATCCAAACTACATAACAGGAACATAGATACCATGATAGCTCAGTTTTCAACTTGTCTAAATACAAGTATTATTAAACTTTTGAATGAAAAAAGGAATCTAAAAAGCATTAAGAGAAATAAGCAAGAAATGTAGTATAATGGAAGTGACCCACAGAACACTTCCTATCTATTACAGCTGGTTCACAAAGCATACTCAGCAACTACTGCATTTTCCATAATGAATTTACAAATAATAAAAGAGGAAAACCCCTTTTGTTTATTATACATTTCTTAAAAATTTTCTTTTTAAAAAGTTTCTTTCTTTTAAGAAAAGATTTTATTCTTATAAATATATTGGTTAGTAATATCATACTGTACTTTTTCTACAAATATAGTTCTTGCAAATAAAGAAGATATAAAATTGAAAACAGCTTTCTTTATTTTTAAACAAATTGCTTTAAATAGCAAGTCAAAAGTACTAGTGAAGTTATAATTAATTTTTTAATAACAAAAAGTCAAATAATATTTCTTATATAACTAAAAGATATAAGATAATACAATATAACAGCAATATTAACTTAACAAAATATATAATTATAAATAGAAACAAAAATCAATACTCTTTATTCTTCTTTATAAACTTTACTTATAATATAGTATTTAATCTTTTTTATATAAAATTGAATATTTTGTATCTAAACTTTATTTGATTTAAGGATCTTAATAATTTAATTTGATTTAATTTTTGATTCTTAGATTTATATTTTTAATAATGTTTCAAATCTTATGCAAATTTATATAAGTTTATTTAATTTCAATTTTGAAATTATAATTTGACCATAATAAATAGCAATAGTGATATCTCATTTGAAATAGAAAATAAAGAGCTCATTTTAATTAAAAAATTTTCAAACTAGATAAAAATTATTAAGAAGATATAAAGAGTTTGAATCAATTACAAACATATATAGAAATTCAATTATAATTTTTATTTTTTACTAATAACAACTAGTACTAGGTTGATATTGCAATCTTTAGACTAATTTTTAGTTTTATTATTTTCATATTTATAAAAATTAAAATCAGCATACTTCTATTAAAAGATTTACAATATATAAAACATTAATTATATCTTATATTACTCAAATATATCAAAACAATACAATAAGTTACTAGATTAGATAAGTATATAATAAGTATTTTGTATAGATTTCAATATTTCTAACAATAAATCAAATTATTATTACAATAATACAAAATATTTCTTATTTTTCATAAATCCAAAACAATATTTATCAATTAAAATTACTATACCATTTACAATAATATTATTAATTATATATGACTTATATAATGTTATCATTTAATTAAATTATATAAATATATTCAAGAACCATATATAATAATCTCATTAATATAACAATAATCAACTATATTCTTTTATCAAAATTTTTTTACAAATAATAATTTTGTTCAAATGTTTTTTTGTTTTTTATAACAAATAGTTTTTTAGAATTTTTTTGCTTTAAGATTTTTCAAATGATATATTTGTTTAATAAATAGTAAACTAATATTTTTAGCAATATAATTTATATTTTAATATTATATAATTATTTTTTTTAAGTAGGTAAATATTATTACTTTATTAATTGTAAAATTGTTTAAAATTTATACATGGAGAAAATAACAACATCTCTTATATAAATTGCTAAGCTAATAAGTCTAATACTAGCTAGCTTGTTTATAGAAACTATCTAAGCAATATGAAAAATAAATATTAAAACCAATATATATCTAAAATAGTACTAAGCAATTATAAATACCTATTCAAGATTATATGAAATAAAATTTAAGAAAATATAAAAATGAAAAAAGAAAATGTTAAACAAAAGAAAAATAACAAAAAAATTAATTATAGTATAAATGAAGTCTAATGTCACTCTAATGGTTTTACCCCCTAAAGTGCCATTGCACTTTCTAGAATAGCCAGGCTACAGTTTATAGTATATAATAATATTGATAACATGTTCTCTTGACAGCTGTTTTTTGAGTTATTGTTGATAGTAGTTGTTTATGTTTAAGTATTTGATAATAATCAGAAGGAAAGTGAAAGAAAACTGATTATTACACAAAGAATATCTTGAATTAGGTGTGTCACACTGGTTAATTTATTTAACTGAAGTAGAATGTTATCTTCAGGAATAGCCAGGTTACTGTTCAAAGTAAATAATAGTATTGTTAACACATTACTTAAATTATATGTTGTTGTTGTGATTGTTAATATTTTTGTTAATATATTGATTGATTTATTTTTTGATGATGTAATCTTGTTTTGATTGATACTGCCAAAATAAAATTTGTTTACATTGATCATTATATAATATTTTGATTATATAAAATTACTTTGAGATTTGATAATATTTAATTTATTGGATTTGAAATGTTGATCAGTTGACAGGAGTAAACTGATTACAGTTTTTTGGTAAGAATTTTTTTGAGTAAAAATTTTTAGTTTTTGGTGATACAGCAGAATATGCTAAGTGATAGTAAAAAATAAATATTAAATATATTTCTAGTGTCTCAAGCCAATAGTATAAACAATTTTGATGTAAAGTTTGATTTTTTTGATTAAAAAAAAATCCTTTAAACAAGAAATATAATTATTTAAAAAGAATTGTATATTAAAAAGAAGAAAAATAGAGAAGAACTCCAAGGAAGATTTGTAAAAAAGTAACTATCATAGATCTTTTCTTATGCAATTCAAAGAAAAAACAAAATCCCCAAACTTGCTTTCTTTTGGCCAGAGGTTCCATCTCAATACACCAGTATACTTCTTTGATTTCTTTGAGGCTTTTATAGTAAAGAAAGAGAAAGTATAAAGAATTTTTAGATATTAAAAAGTGAAAAAAATATTTGTTTCTTTAATTTTAAAGAAAAATTACTATAAAAGAAAATTTTTTAGAAAAAAATTATGTATAAAAAAGAGTGAATCTATATGAATATTATATAATTATATAACAAATTAAACTATTATTTTATTAATAAAGAAGTGAATAATGTCTTACTTTAATATTAAAAAAAATAATAATAATTTCAATATTAAATAAAATAAATAATAATATATAATATATAAAAAACAAATAAATTAAGTAAATAATCTAGTTTATTTGTTTGAATTTATAATAATTATTTTTTATTAATTTTTTGAAAAAAAATTAAATATATATTAAAACAAATATATTTATAAATCAAAACTTTTAAAAATAAATTATTATCAGAAGTATTATTTTCTTTTTTAAAAAAAATATTATTTTCAATATGTTTAAAGTTTTGATAAAAAATTATATTGTATAGTAATTTAAGTTAAAAAGAAAAATAAACCTAAACAAAAAAAAATTTTTTTTAAAAAAAAACTGTTTAATAACAAAAAGAATAAAAAAATAATAATAATAAAAAGATAAAAAAATAATACATCTTGCTTATAATATTTTATTCAAAAACCAATTTATTTTAAAATTTTTTTAAATCTCAAATTACAACCTTATACAAAATCAAATCTGCTTATACTTTTCCAAACAAAATACTTTTCAATGCAAAAAACAGTTGAAAAAACCTTATAATATCAGCACTCATAAACTTTTCTACTACATACACATACAATATAAAAAAGAAAAGAAAGAAAAAAAAAGTTTTTTTTTGTTATATCAATTTTTTATCCTACATTGTATAAACTGGATAAAAAAGTCAATGTCATGTTTTGCTTTCAACAAATTAATTATTTATATTATTTATTTATGAGATTACTTGTATTTAAAGTCTCGCAGGGCTGACGAATTTCAAACGATCCAGTGCCACCTTGCACAACTTTACCAAGTGCTAACCTTGCCGATGGTGAGTTTAACATGTCCACGTCACCAAATAGTGTGGCTTGTTCCAAAAAATTACAGGTGCTCTCAAAGCTCATTTTAAGCAGAGGTGAAGGATTAGAATCTATACCAATTCTACTAAATGGTTTGAATGATCCTTCAAATGTCTAATTAATAAACAAAATGTAAATTTAATAATAGTAAATAAATTACGAGAGAATCATAAATACTACCATATAATCTGCAACTAGTGTTAAATGTCTAGGATCGACATGAATTCCATATGCCGAAAAGACATTAGAAATTTCTTTTATTATTGTACTTCTTGCCGCTTCCACCCCATAGGTTTTGAGGATAGCCGCAATGTCATTGGAATAAATTTTGTTAATATCAAGTATATTGTCGTATAACCAAATACACGAAAAATTTACGCCTTCGGTCACCATGTTTTCCTATTGAAAAAGAAAAATCAATTAAGACTTTTAAATAAAACTTGCAATAACTTTAAAACATACCAAGGCACCTCCCTTGGTTTCGCTTGAAGATGGATAGCATTTGGTAATTCCACCAACATCACGAATGACTGCCTTTTTGCATGCAGATTCGGCTATATCCAACAACAGTAATCTTTTATTATCAAAAGGCAACTAGAATATGAAATTAATTAGCTTCCTCCATATTAATCATTCAACACTTATACTTCCATAACTCCAAAGTACCTGTAATTCAATATCGCTCCAACCAGCTTCTACTGAGTCAAATAGATAGTTGGTGACATAAGTCGATTTTGAAATGATCCTATCCCGCCGGGAGGACTTTGTCCGTTTATTCGTGGATTTTTCAAAAGAATGTTCAGGATAATCAGCAATATCACTCATATTTTCTTCAAAAACTTCTATCTCATTTTCATTAGCTTTAATGTCAAAATCTTCGTTGTTAAGAGCAAGGTCAGTTTGCTCAATAATTTTCAGGTCGTCCTCATCAGGTGCATCATAAGTTGCAAACTGACGGGTCTTAGAATTGATTTTTGCGTTAGTAGCATCCCCATCGCCATCATCAGACACTAAATATTTGCAATTTAAAATGTCAGGATGATAAAACAATACGTCAGACATTCCAACACACACACACACACACCATATCCAGCAGTATCATTTATAGGAACATCATCATCAAATGCTTCTTCCTTCTTTGAACGCTTAGAGGGTTTGTGTATCACAAGAAGATTATCTATTGTTGTTAAGATGAAGTATTAAATATTACGTAATCACTGATAGCCGCTCGGAATACTTACCAAGAGGAAGGTCCTTGATATTTTTAGAAGAGTTTTTAAAATGTTTTGTTATTGCACTCTCGAGATAATACATGAATTGAATTTCAATTGCACGCTCGATTTCCCACGGCTCAAGATTAAACTCTTCTTTGTATTCCTCGCGCGTGTAAAATTGCATGTGAATCTTATAGACTTTGCATCTGGTAAATCCGGATTCATCTCGTTTGCCTGAAACACGTTCTGTTACTACCATTTGATCTACAACTTCTGCCAAAGTTAACTTACTAATCTTTTGACAAAATCTTAAGGCCTCTTTATCAGAAACTTTTTTTAATAATGGAAGCGTCATCGTAGGTGTCTTAATATTCTGAGAGGCTGTCATTATAATTTCACGGAGACGCGGAATACCAAGAGTGACGTTTTTTGCACCGAATCCAGCAAAATGAAAAGTATTTAAGGTCATCTGCGTAGACGGCTCGCCGATACCTTGTGCAGCAAGCAGGCCAACAGCCTCTCCAGGTTCAATTAAACTATGAAGGTACTTGAGATGCATGAGTTTTCGGAACGCCGCTTTTGATATGGAGTCATCTCCGAAGAATTTTTCTGAATTATCTTTAGTATACTAATAAAACGTTTAGATATTAATACAATACAGTTAATTAATCAACATACTATTGTTAATATAATACCTTTTCCAAGGCATTGTGATATTTTTCAGAAACGCATCCTAGAGATGTACTCGGGAAGTATACAGAAAGCACAGGATCATACTTATTAGGGTTCTTTGCAGCTTTCTTTGAATAAATAGATGCCCGTGAAGTATTTAACATTTTTTGCGCCTCAGTTATGTTATATTTTTTCATTAACGCTTTATAATTTCGCGCCATAAATTGAAACTTGTAAAGATGTTTCTGCTTAACTATATCAAGAGAATCCTCGCCGTAATGAAATTGAATAACTGATCCATCATTATCTCTTACAGTGTGATCATAATGCACCCTTAAACTCTCCAAATGTTTAATCAGGCAACGTTGAAGATAACCTGAGCGGCTTGTCTTCACGGCAGTATCAATAAGACCCTCGCGACCAGCCATACAATGGAAAAAGTATTCCTTAAAAAAATATCAGATTTATTAAAAATATATCTAAGAAATGATTTCTTATTTATTACATGCAGTACCTGGGGTTTGATGCCGGTTAGAAAACGCCCACCAATAAATCCACCAGCACGTGCTGAAGGATCATAAGGTAAAAAAGATGGAAGCGTTCTTCCGCTTACCATTACTGGCACACGACGACCCTCAAGTTCTTGTTGACCTTTTTTTATTCACATAAATTTGCTTAGTACATTAAAATAAAATGAGATAATGAAAATTCTCAACACACCTAGACAACAAGAGATTTGTGATACATTCACATTGCTTCCTTTCGCACCAGCTATGGTCATGGTTTGCATGTTATTATGTGGGAAGCGTTTTAACTTACGTATAAAGAAAAACGATGAATAAAATTCCTGTATACAATATAACTGTAATATATATATTATATAAATGTCGGTAGTTACCAATCCTCCAGGTATGCATGTTGTAATAATTGATGATGTCACTACATTAACTCTCGATTTCATAGCAGCATCTAATCCCCGATGTTTTTCAGAATCTCGTAAGACCTCTTCCATCATACTTTTAAAGTCTGTGATTTTAAAAAGAACAATAAGCAAATGTGTGAATTAAATTGCAGAGAATGTTTCGAATTAATCACATGCCTTCATTTGCACTTTTATTTTTCACCGTGTTTTCAATTCCCACATAATCGAAGCAAACCGTTTTTCCGAGTTCGACATTATTGTTCATCAATTCTTTACGCCATTTATCGCCTTCAGACGTCAACCTTAAGTCATCCATGCGACACGAAAAACCACGCCGTTGTGCATATGCCGTAAATAACCGACCTAGAACGCTAAGGAGCTGACCTGCTATATCAGCAGAATATAATTCGTAGCATGAATGAATCAAGCCAAAAGCTGTTGCACCAAACTGTGATTTGTCGAGAACACCCGTGAGAAAATCTCCATCCATGAAAATAACGGTTTCTTCCTCGGACGCACTCCAACCCCAATAATTAGATGAAATCTTATTTTGAGACACTAAATTTAGAGGAGGGAGATCACCAATCAAATTTTTCAAAATAGTGGCTATCTAAACATCAGGTTAATAAATCGAATGAATAAAGGTAAGATAATGGCTTCATTTGATAAAATCAAGATTTAAAACTCTTCGTTATTAAAACTGACATAATACGAACCACTTGCTTTCCAGTCCACATCGGTTTTGGCTTATGTATAGCTGGATGAACTGTCAGAATTCTTCTTGAATCATTGGAATCAGGTCTTAACGCAGAAAACACAATCTGTTGATAGTCAGATTTTGCGAAAAAGGTGTCTTTACTAGTCATCCAAACCCCCATCACTACGTGATCTTGAATCAACCCTCTCAATGGAGAACCAGATGTTGGTCCAAGATATTGATTATTTGTATTACCTATTAGCATAGCCTCGGCACGGGCAATTTCATTTTGGGGAAAATGCATATTCATCTCGTCACCATCAAAATCCGCGTTATAAGAATTACAATTAGCATAATGCATGCGAATTGTCATCTCTCCTTTCAAAATACGGGCACGATGCGCCATTATGGAAGGTTTGTGAAGAGTGGGTTGACGATTCAAGAGTAAAATATCGCCATTTCGCAGGTGACGATAGACCTTTTTGTTTATGTATGGCGTTTTCACCAAATATTGCGTAAGTGATGTTTTGCTCTGTTGTTCTTTCATCAATTGTTGTCCATAAGATATACGTGATTCCAGAGGCAAGCCCGCCAAATTTATCATAGAACCATCCTCATTCTGTATGAAGGTGGCACCTGGCCAAATATCTGGCCCATTTGATACAGCCTGACTTAATTCTTTAACATTGTAAGCGGTCACTGGTTCTGGATAAGTTAGCTTCTTGGCAAACCTCAGCGGCACCTATTAATAATAAAATAAGAATGCTACAACAATTCTGATATTAATTGAATATATAACTGCATACTCCAATTTCGTTCGTATCCACGTAAGGATCAGGTGATATTACTGAACGAGCCGCATAATTTACCCGCTTTCCCTGTAAATAGATATCACCTACAATAATTACCAAATCGATTTATCAACTCGTAAACTCAATAAAAGTCATAACAACATACCATCAGATGTCTACGGAATAACCCTTCTTTTTTCTCCAATATTTGTTTCACACCCGCAGCCGGAACCTTTCCACGAGCAACTGGAAGATTGCCTTTCGAACTGTCAATCAAGCCGTTAACAGCGTCCTGCAGATTAATCCAACATTTCATCATGTGTTCAACTGTTTTTGAGTGCCCTGCATTTGAATTTTTACCCATTGCAGCAAATTCACAAAATTGTTGACGTGCTTTCAGAATCCTAGCAAAATGTTCATTCTGTGGATTCTCCATTGTTTGATCGTTAACTATAGATGCCGGACGGAAACGTGTAGGAGTTACAGCTATCGTGTCCATGAAAAAAATATCCGCGGTGACTGCTTGTGGAACCCTGAGGCTAGAATCTTGGAATAATAGTCCTTGTGTTCCATAAAGCACTTCGCATAGGTTTGATTCATTCTTAAACAGTTCCCGGAGATGTCCACGCAATGATTCGGGGGTGATATATTCTACTTTAGATGTTATTTTTCTAATATGGTGACGATCGTCGGAAAAATCATCTAAACGTTTATCTTCGTCAGATTCTTCTCTCTCAACAGATTTTTGCTTTTCTTGAACTTTTATATTTTTCGATGACAATGGAAGTACAAATATTTTTGAATAGCCTTCCTTTTTAAATGAACGACAAATACTAAAATAAAATAATCCATGATCTCATTATTGCCATTAAAGTTCTAGCCAATAACTATGTCAAAATCTCTGGTACGTACGAATTACAATTTTCGCAAGTCTTTGTCATTGAACACCTTTTTAGGAATTCTGTCATTAAAGCTTTTCGTTCTACGTTAATCGCAGTAATCTTATATCTTTTTCCGCCACCATCCTTTTGACATTTATTCACATATTGGTCTTTGAATGTATTATAAGTTAGCATGGTTATAATATGGGATAATTTGTGTAAATGATCCTTACCAATTAAACGACAGTATTCGTTTATATCAAACTTTGAAGATTTGTTTTCTTCGGTTGATAAAGCCTCATCAGTGATCCCATCAAGACATTGAGCTTCCAAGATCAATCCATGTTTTAGCAATTTAAATTTAGCAGTATATAGGAAATTCTATTTATAACTCAAAATAGGTAAACGAAATAAGTTATTAAACTTGAACAAAACCGATATATCTTACCTGTGGTAATCCTAATCTAAAACGATGACAATTTATACATATAGCCTTTAACAAAACCATTATGCGGTTAAAGAACGTTGGATTATATACAGGACAGGGTAGTTGAATGTGCCCAAAATGACCTGGACAATTATATTGATCAAGTCCACATGTCCCACAACTATTAAAGTTAGAAAGTTCCACTCAAGAAGTTAATTGAATCTATTTTTGCGTTCGAAATTTTATAATAATACTCTATACACACATTGCATTGCTGGTATATGGTCCTAGGGCCGAATCATACAATCCGCCATTGGTTGGTGCACCAAGTGCATCGAAAAGCACTGGATTGATAATCTCCTTGACGGATAATTTCTTTATTTCTTCAGAAGTATAACAAGAGAAGGTTGCAGTTTTAATGTCGACGCCAAGAGGATGAGCGATATTCATTTTGCGTGTAAGTGTGAAAGTGTGAACCAGAAATTGATCTCAAAACACGAACATTGATGAACCTTATCTACCAATTAAAAAACAAATTTATTAACATTTTTCATAATCTTTTTTTTTGGGGGTAGGCATAACTAAATTGAGATACAAATTTGTATACATACAAAATATTATAAAAAAGATCAATGTCTTTTTAAATTATAAAGTAAACTCATCCACCATGTGGCTTGTTGCCTGTTCTGTAAAAAAAACAAAACATTAGAATTTCCTTGGAACAGCTAACCTGCCAAGGCAACATTTTTCATAATCTATATATATATATATATATACAGTATATTTAAATAACTGGTGTACACCTTGTTTTATTAAATATTAATAGGTTTAGTATGTACAAATCCATTTATATCTAAGCTAAGATAATTCCAAACTACCAATTGGCTTATTGCCTTCTATTCTTCTTATATTATCAATATCAAAGTTCTAATAGCATAGATAGAATACTAATATGTCAGAATGTGTGCCTTTCAGTTCTATCCAATATCCAATAAATAGAAATTCAAAGAACCATATCCTATTATAATTAGTTGTGGACTAATTATATCCAACAAGAAAAAGTCTTATAGGTTCTTGAAAAAACCTGTTTCTTTTATAGTCTTATAGATAGGGATTGCAATGGTTTGGTTTGAATCGGTTTTAACCAAAACCAAAACTGATCTGATTTATTTTTTTTAAACCGATCTGATCCGAAAACTGATCGGTTTTAATTTTTTGTAAACTAATCCAATTCGAAAACCAATCGGTTTTAATTTTTTGTAAACCGATCCAATCCGAAAACCAATCGGTTTTAATTTTTTGTAAACCGTTCTGATCTGAAACT